AGCAAATTATTTGAAAATTTACTAACACAAACATCCAATGCAGAATATTTAAAGCACAAATTGTTTTCACATTATGCACATAAGTTTCTTTAATGACAAAGACCAGCCAAACCTATTATAAAATGCTACACATATGGAAGATACATGCACGCATACCCACCCACACACAACATTTGAAGGTTCAAGGGCTCTTCCATCTGGCTTTATGAAAATGATTCAGGATCAGAACAAAATGTATATAGATATGGACTAGCAAACTTCATTTTCAAATACTATAGAATTTTGCATGTGAATTATAAAATAATACTCCTATAATAGTTCTCCATATTTTGATTTTTTAGATAAGGTTTTTTGCTAGAAATTATTATAAAGAAATTTCAACTACATAATAATCACATGGTAAGTTTATATGTTTAATTAAATATATTTAATTTCCTATTTTTCCTATAAATTTAAATTAAATTAGATATGTTTAGTAAGTATTCAATTAACATACAAATACACATTTTTGTATTTTTTTGCATACAAAATCAATCTCCTATAAAAAAGAATAAAGATTAATGAACGTTTGCCACAATAATGAAGTTTGAGAGTTTGTCCCAATCATAAAGTTACATTGGAAATAGATTTGGGCATTATGTTCATTTTTACAATTCACCATTATAATAGAAGAAGAAAAAAGTGGCAACACAAAATGTTGCTTTATCACAGCAACTGGGAATGGTTAGAAAAAGGAAACTGAATTCATGACCACTCACACAGGTAGTTCTCAATTTATAATGGTAATTGGGACTGGAAACCTGGTTGTAAGCTGTTACAGTTGTAAATCAAGGCACACACATGACTAAGTAATTTTCTGGCTTCTTTTAGTCATTAAGCAAACCCATTAATTTGAATGTGTGTTTTTTTGCCAGAAACTGGCAAAAAACACTGTAAATCGCAGTCATATGACTACAAAATGCCACAACCAATCATAAAGCTGACCCACCCAACATGCCATCAAATGACTGCTGGTACAGCATGACCATTAACAACTTCTGCAAGTGCTTTTTGGGCTGTAAAGAATATGCTGGGAGTGAATTATGAGTCATAAAGCACTCATTTGGTGGCCATTATAACTTTTAAATGTCATAAAATGACTGGTCGTAAATCGAGGACTACCTGTAATGGAATCAAACACAAATATGTACAAACAGATGGGCACCTCTCACTTTAAGGAACAGAAGGATAATAACAATCACAGCCATTACAGCATCTTTTATTAGAAAATGGAAATACAGTAAACCCAATTAGAAATTCTATAATAGGTCACATTCATTTTAAATTTTCTTTCTGAGACTTCAGTCATGATTTTCCATGTTTATAATAATTATAACTTGCAATATTCAGTAGTAAGTGCTACAGGTTAGCTGTTATGATTGCACATGGTTCTTCCCTAAGCTACATGTCACTGTTTAGAAGACATATTGGACTGCTATAGGATTAGAACAAAACAGAATAAAATGAGCCAAATAGCCAGGCAGACTCACTTAGATCCAGAAACTCTTTAATATACATATATCCAGAAGGTAGTGGTGATTTCTCACTCAGGATTACCACATCATATAACACATCTCCAGTTGGATTCTGTAAAGAAGCAGATTCCAAAATAGTCACCAATCACACTATCTGCACCTAGCCTCAATTTCAACCTTCTTAACAAAGCATCCTTCTTACCAAAGCGTCTAGAGATACAGTAAAGCAGAGATAATATCCATATTTTTGTGCAAATCCTTTTCCAAAGTTAGCAGGTGCTCCTTCTACAGTTGTTGTGATCTAAGAAAAATGAGGGGAGAGAGGAGACTTTTATGAAGCAAGGCAAAAAAGCACAAGCAAGAATTCTCCCAATACAGGTAGTCCTTGAGTTACAAATGGAATAGAGCCTGCCCATTCCATTCGTAACCCAAGGATTCATGTGAGTGAATCTCGTACCTTGAGCGTGAACATTCCCTCCTTTCACCCACACATTTGCTAATTGAATGCGTGGTTCATTAAGTGCACATGAGGTATTTCAGGGTGGAGAAGGTCATGGGAGGCCTAGTGATGGAACAGGCCACCTGCTTAAAACCACCCAAGGCCTCCCTGACTCACTGAAATACCTCATGCTCCTCACAATTACTTCCCCCAACCTGCCGCATTGGGTCACTTACCATGCTAAGATCTAGCAAGCTGTCTCCTCTCCAGCCATTCAGCTGCATGCGCCCCTCCGGAGCTCTGTTTTGGCATGTGCAGGCTTCGTCCAGCACTTTGCAGCGCAAAACTGAATTTCGGAGGGGTGGGTCTTGTCAGCTAGGAAATTCCAGCCCCATGGCGAGATACGCAAATAAATTTAACAAATAAAATAAAATAAAATAAAATCTGACAGGACCTATGAGGAAAGCCTTTTTTGCCATGGTCCCCATCCTGTCTTGGCCTTCCAAAAGACCCTCCAAACATGATTTTGTTTAATGAGTTTATTGATCCTGTGGTACAGTGGGGCCTGTCAGATGGTTATACAGTATGACTATTAACTGATGCACTCTCTGTATGCAAAAGAGATGCCAAGGTCCATTGACTTCACATGGGATAGTGACTCCCAGCAGGTCATCACTATGAAATGTGATGGACTGGATGGGCAAATTCAACTTTAGTAAGAGGTGTCTAATGTATCCTAAATTCACACTATGTTATTACCAGTATTTTGAATTAAGACTGAATGCATACTAGTACCCTAGGTAGTTTAATGGCTCCAAAAGAAGAGTTCTCCTGCAATGGCTGGACTACTGCCATCACATTCTAGACCAGTTGCAGCTTCTAGACTGACTCCATAAATTGACTCATTTAGAGGGCATTACAGTAGCCCTAATTGGATCTGATTACTAGAGCCAATATTTACCAAGCAATTTTTATATTACAGTAACTCATTCTTTGCAGCATTAAGTCTGATATGTCCATCCAAATCCTAGCGGCTTCCATGCACAATTAAGGGTTTGTATAACACCCCTGGCTCAGTCTTCAGACATGGCATACAGCTGAATGTGGCTGGTGTGCTGACATTTCAGTCCCGTTAAAAAGTTTTTTCCCAGCGGTCTATATATTGGGGAGAATGCTAACCATGTGATACCCCATCCTGAAGGATCCAAGGGCTGCAACTTTCTATGAAGACTGGGGCAATCCTCTCAGGTAACACCCAGCTCTTGTAGATGGCCCAGAACTCATAAAAAATGTGTAGATATGCAGGTAGGTAGATAGATAGGGAAATATAGGTAGGTAGGTAGGTAGGTAGGTAGGTAGGTAGGTAGGTAGGTAGGTAGGATAGATAGATAGATAGATAGATAGATAGATAGATAGATAGATAGATATAGATGAGAGACACTAAAATGTCCAGCAGGAGCAAGGGGGCACTTAAACTATGGGCAAAGTTAACTGACTAAAGTAACCAAGGCTATTTCTGTCCCAGGAACCGGTCTGTATCTTGGCTAACAGGAATGGATCCATTACCAATCACGGGTAATTGGTTTATTATTTAGCTTCATTCATCGGGAAAGGGGTTCACGCAAATTTATCGTTTCAGGGCGGTCACCTTATCGCAGAGTCTGAGAAGCCCCGCTGTAAAACTTTCAACCTTCAACGTATGATGTTTATTGGCTTAAAAACGGGCAGGCAGCCACCTTTTGGCTCAAGGAAGCTTTTCCCTTTTTAATTTAATTAATTCAATTTATATGCCGCCCCTCTCCGAAGACTCAGGGCGGCTTTTGTATTAAGCAGTAACAAAACCCTCGTTTCTGGGTCTGGAAACCTCCACTCAAGCTTCCGACTTTTTCAATAACTCTTCCGTCTCGTCTCTCTCTCCCCCCCTTCGCCCGTTTTTAAAGAAAGAAGCAGGAGAACCGGGAAATAGGAAGCCAGAGCGGTGAGAAGGGCCAGCAAGGTAAAGTCAATAATTCGGAATTAGCTTCCCCTCCCTTAAAGGAAAGAAAGACGGCGAGCCTCGCCCTCACTCCCCCGCCGTGAAGAGCGGTTGCCCTCAGAGACGGGGCGCTACAAGGCAAGGAGATGAGGCTGTTTTTCTCACCGGAATCCAGCCAGCAACCGGCACGTTAGACGAAGTCCAACCCAGCCCGGTGAGCGGAACGGTCATGCTAGCTCTAAGACGGTTCGACCGTTTTCGGATACAGGGAACCGGTAAAATACGAAAAAAGAAAGGGGGAAAAAAAAAAAAACCCGTCCGCGAACAGCAACGTCCACCGTCGCGGGAGGTGAAACGAAAGTCCTCTCCAGTTTTTAGACCCGCCTCTCAGAACAGACGTGAGGCACCGCGTTTATAACGGAGTCTGCTCCGATTGGCGGGCCACTTCTGCAGGACCATCCAATGAAAAGTTTGCACTTGCTTTGTTTGGTTTCTCGTCACAAAACCGGGAGAACGTTGTGCGCACGCGCCATGAACGATCTTTGTCCTCGTCCGTCCCCCCACCCCCACTTTTTTTTTTTAATCCTTTTACTCGCTCTTTAGTTTCCCTTTGAATTTAGGAAGGACTTGTTAAAGCAGAAATTCTGGAGTTGAGATCTTTAACGTTACTGAGCCGAATGCTAGAGGGAGGTACCAGCAAGTTTAAGGGGACCCCATTTAGATGTTTGATTTCTACTTCAAGTTTTACAGGAAAGTCCTAGATAATTAGGGTGACTAAAAAGAAGAAAAGCTCTAGAAGATTATGCTCAGTTCGAATGAAGGATTTCATTTAACAGATTAACAGAGTTGGAAGGGACCTTACAGGTCATCTAGTCTAACCCCCTGCCCAAGCAGGAGACCCTACATCTGCCTCTACCTAGGATCGAACTCACAACCTACTGATTGTGAGGCAAGAGCTCCAATTGCATATTAAATGTACAAAACATGGATGCATAGGTACCTACTCTTCTGAAACTCTGCCCCCTCCCCCCATGAAATTCCTGTTCCAGGATTGAAAGAATAGAGCATAGCATGGGACTCCTGAAAACCTTTAATCATTCCAGTTGGAAATCAATACTATTTTTTACCAATATTTGCCGGTCTATGTGAGAATTGATTTTCACATCTAGGAGTATAAAATTTATTTCTGAGTAGCATCAGAATATTGAAGACAGTGCACAAGACAAAGCAGCTAAAAATACTGCAAGACTTTTACACACGTGTCTGCTATTCATCAAATGTTCATAGTAGAATGGAGAAAAATACGCTCAAACACAGAATGAAAAGCTGCTATATCTTTCTGTTGTTCTCTTACTTTTCCACCCCCACTACCATACATCGGTGGAGAGATCAGCTTCTTGCTCTTTTCAGTAATAATGGCCAAGCCAATATTTAAGTTGCTAACAGCTATGGCCTACCTAGATATTTCCAAAGTGAGTTTTAGAAAGTCAGATGAAGAATGTCTTGAAGAAATGCCTGTTAGCAAAATGAAACTGAAACTTTCTTTAATCCTTTGGAGGTGGCAATACAGATGATTTTGTCTGGAAAAGCCTCAGAAGTTTTCGGGCTGGTGATTTCTCTAATCTCAGGAAAGTTCTGGATGCTGAAATAGAAAGAATATTGTATTAATTCCAAATACTTATGCTATTAACTGAATGTTGGAGAACAGCAAAATCATGGAACCTAATGACACTAAAAAAGTCTTAACATAGATCTGCTAAGCTTTGTGGCCATGTAATTATTTAAGAAATGGGTATTATTGCAGATGTTAAGAATAGTTGTTGGAAATGTGACCTATTTGTTTCGGAGAAGGCAGCATTTTCTACTAATTAAAGAATACAGCAGTGTTTATATATTTTACAATATTTTACAATAATAATATGCACTGATATAGTAATGAATTTATTGGTAAACCTGTGATTATTGATAATATAAAATATAAGGCAGATATTTTTCTTTTTTTCTTAGTTTGTATTCTTTGTTAGGCATTGTTTAATTTGTTTTCTTTTGTTTTGGCTTCTTTTTATTAAGTTTAAAATTTGTTTTAATTATAAGGATGTTAATTAATACAAATATTTAATAAAGCTTCCACACTTGTAGAAAGATAATTGCCATTTTTGCAGCCTAAGTTAATTGTGAATTCAGACATAATAAACTATAGTTAAAACTACAAACAAGTTTCAAATTGTGATTTTGTTTTCTAAGATGTATTTACGCAGAAACTAAGTAACACATTGAGTTGCTGTTGCATGAATTGCTAAAGAATCTCTATAAATTGAGACACATATCTTCCCAACAAAACTCATTATATAGCTAATGTAAAATCGGCCCGAAATATATTTAACCTTTCTCATACAATTTGTTTTCTATTCCAATGGATTTACTGTATAACTAAATCAGTTAATGTAACATACATTTCCAAGATTATATTATTATAATCCGAATCTGTTAATGTAATGTGCAATGTGCAATGCAGCAGTTTCTCTTAATGGAGAATAAAATCAATATGACCTGAATTGCATTAATATCAGCAATACTGATATTTGGTTGGATCCAGAGTAATCTTGCCACAAACCAAAAAAGCTAATTCTGTTTTACAGAAAACAGAAATACAGTGTAGGAAAAGGAGCACAAACCATACTGCTCTGTAAAGTTCCCCAATTATCCAGAACAATTTTTCAGAGTAAAACAGTAAATGTTCAGGTGTTGTCAGTTTCCATTCTATGAGTCATGACAAAAAACCTCAATATTAATAAAGTTAATACAATTACATCCTATGAGTTTAATATTTTCCTTACTATTACAATAAAAATAGAATTTAACTTACAGTGCTTGGTAATGAGGACATTTAAAAATCTAAAACCTCATAACAATAGAGCTGAAAATCAGCTTGAAATAAATTGGTAGGGTGGGAGAACAACAGAAACTCACTTTCAATGTTTGGGTTACCTGAAATTAGACTTCAGATAGACCGAATGTGTATACTACATACAACAAATTAACCCCTCTTGTAACTTATATGCACAGAGCGATTATTTTTTGTTTTGTGCATTGAGTAATATGGGAGTCATGCAGTGTAGAAATTTAATAAATATACCTTTGATATGAATGAGGAAAAAAGAACACTCAGAATCTGTTTCAGTTATACAAAAATAATAGCCACTCCATGACTTACCAAGTTGTGCTGATAGTTTCTGGAGATATAATGTAGTATCTTCCACATAGGTCTGACAAACTTTTACCATCTGACTGATTTCATCAAGCTGAAAAGAAATATTATTTAAAGGTGACAATCCAGCAGAGATAATCAATTCTGACACTTTAAATTACCATTCCCTCTATTATTCTAAACTAAATATTACTGGGGTGTATCATTCAGCAGAACTTCCAGATTCAATCAAACAATGAGAAATGTTTAAGAAGTTCCCTCCTTCTTAGACTCTTGGTAGCCTCCTTCCAGAATTTCATTCTAAATTCAGCAAGGTCTGATTGAAAGATTTATCCATTTTGTCTTGGAAGCTCATTATCGCTTACAATCATCTGAGTCCTTCACCCAATCAGAACAGAAAGCAGAATAAATTATCCTCTTATTGTGTGCCATTCTTTATATCAAGATTCTGAGTGGCTAATCTCCCATCCCTAGTTTTTTCCCCAAACTAGCCAGCACAGAAAAGTCATGTAATATGAAACTCATTTAAATTGATATTCTCAAATATTTAAAATATTCAAGTAATCAACAATATCTGTGAAATGCACAGAATGAAAACAATAAGGAAACAGCACAACAGCAATCAATACAGAACTACTGAACGTGATAAATAGTTAAAAAAAAAGTTAAAAGCATAAAGCAGTTATTTTAAAAGCTTAAGAGGTTTTTAAGGTTAAAAGGTTTCACTAGGGTTTTTGTTGCTGATTGTCCCTCTTCTTTGTGCAATACCCTTTTTAATACCCTCTGTTCCTCTTATCTATTTATTGTCTCTGTTGTGGTACACCAGCAGCCTGCGGAGCTGGCAGAAGAGTCAGACAGTGAGGAAGCTGGGGAGGAACATAGGCCAGTCCTGGAGTCTGGGGAAGGCTCAGACGAGGGCTCTGCATCGGAGGCAGAGATGGGGCCAGGGCCATCTGGGAGTTATGTGTGGACTCCAGAGCCTCCAGTCGGACATCAGCGAGGAACAGGAACAGGGGGAGCCTGTTCCCAGTGCACGCATGCGCAGAGCTGCCAGAAGGCAAGAACAGTTAAAACAAAAGGGACGACTCGGGAGTAGGGCTTGGAGATGATTGGCCCCTCCCATAAGACATAAAGGAGGAGCAAAGGCACATGAGCCCTTTGCAGGAAGCAACTGTTGTTCGTGCTGGCCGGTTTCAAGACTGCAGCTCTGTGTTGACTCTGTGTTCCATGTGGCTTTGCAAAGTTAATTGCCAATTAGGTCTTGGCAGCATGTCAAGGGAGATAAAGGTGGGTGTTTATCACTATTATCCTGAAGAACTGTGGCAGATTTCTGTCAGACTCTTTACAATTATTTGGGACTCCTCTGAATGAACAGATTGGGCAGAATTCATGGAAGTAAAAAGAGGATTTTTGGGACTCATTGTGTGCTTTTATTGTATCAGGAAGCCTAGGTCAGAACAGTCTCATTTATACCAAGCATAAAATACTATCTCTAATTCAGCTTACAAAAAAATCTCTAGAATCCTGCTTTCATTTCTTATGAAAACCCACAGTATAAAGGAATGGAAAAATACACCTATTTTTCTTTTTAATTGGCTTTCTAGATTCTTCTTCTTCACTCATTTTGTAAGCAAATAACACAAGTCTAAACTAACTATTCTCACACATCTATTTACTTGCTTTGTGATTTTTATTCCTTAGAAAGATGATGTTGGATTTATAACTTATAATTGGAGCTTCCCAAGTTTATTATTTGGCCTTGCACTGCCTCTCCTAGTCAATCCTGGCATTGTTTCTAATTCTAGTACATTATTTGCTTTGCGATTCTGTCACATTGAGAAATTCCTAATCATTATATAAATCTCCAAGCCATGCTATCACTTAGATGGCTTTATCCATAGCCTCACTGTCTATTCCTCATGCCCAGGAAAAATGTTGCCTCCTTCCCTGACAAGTGTACTGTTCAACTGCCTTTCTACCTCAACAATCCATGTTTGATTATCATTTTACCTCTGTTATAAGATTTTCAGTTTCTAAGTTTTTCAGAAGCATGTAGAATGGCAAGCTATCCACATGGATACTTTCTGGACATAATTTAATCCATCAGTTTTTTGACAGAATCTATTGCTGCGAATCCTGGCCACCTAGATTATCAAGTCCTCCAACTTGGCATTACCACTTGCCTATTGTTTCGGGAAGATGGAGAAGAACCAAAATATTTATGTAGTACAAATGCTGCTTTAAGTGAATTGTTTTAAGTTCTCAGAGGAAAGAACTGCATGCTTTCAATGCAAGACTCTTTCCATCACTTAATTATTGCACCATTGTTTTGACATTCCTTACTGCCTTTTTAAAATTAATGCTGGTTAATAACATTAAATTTTAAAAAGACAGTAAGGAATGACAAAACAATGGTACAATAACTGATGTCATAACTCACCACTCCCTCTAGACAATAAAAGACTTCTGCTTGACAATCCAGTATTTTTTGATAGTCTGGCTTGGCTTGAAGTACATGGGCTTGGGATGCCCCAAGGTAGCTGCAAGATTCCTCTGGTGCTTGTTTCAGCTCGCATGACTCTAGCTGCCTTAAAAAATAAAAAAAGCAGATCACAATAATTAGTACTTAATGGCCAGTAAATTCACTATTACAGGGTATGTGATTGTCAGATTCTGGCCCAACCCTCATTCATTCATTCTGGGTTCCCAGTCCTACCTTTTTTCTCAGCTAGATGCCAACCATCAATTCCCAACAATATCTGATTTGGCAAGTTTTTCCTTCACCTTTTTGGGGGTTGAGAAGGGAATTCTTCTCAAAAGGATAAAAAAACCAAATCCCTTGACTGGTACAATATTACTATCATGTTTGTTGTATGTTACCAAACCTGGTGTAGCCCTTAGAGACTTCAAACCCCAATGAACAATTATAAGGTTAATAAAATAAGGAAAAAATTCTGAGCAAGCATTAACCAAATTATATATCTATCTTGACCCCTTAGTTAAAACTCTTTCCCGACCCTCAAAATTGGATCTGTGTCCTTATCTTCAACAACCCCCCAACCTGCTGTCTTCCCCTTCTAGAAGTTTCAGCTTCCCTTCCTAGTGAGATGAAGGTTAGCTATTTCTTAGTTGCTAGTCACTAAAAACAATATCTATTGCTTCCCATTTCAGTTCAACCACTCTGAAAAATTCAGTAGCATCAACAAATTTTTGACCAGTTCACATTTTACTGCTCCCTCACTCAAATTGCTAACTCTAGATTATTTGGAAATATTAAAAAACATCAGTTTTACTATTTGGGGTTTACCTACTAATGGCAATTTAAATGTGTGGGCCTGTCCATACTCCCTTTTTTTCTGCTCTTGTCCATTACGTTACATTATATACATTTTATAGCCTTTGACCTTGTAACCCTGCTTTCAGAATAATCTAAGGATAAAAATAGCCAATATTCTAACCTGGATATTTCTTCCATTTTTTTCTGGTAAGACAGAAGTAGCTCATCCCAAGCTTGATTCTCTGCTGAAAACCTATTAAAAATATAGATTATAATTAGCTTCAGCACCAGAGACATTAGTGCTGTCATTTGCTGTCATTAACTTGAAGTAGCCTTAACAGAAAAGTCTCTTGAGAATTGTATATGGCGCTACATGGTCCATCAATACTGTACACTCTTTGTCTTCCATATTCTCACGGGATGTTCATAAATCAGTTTCATTCAGCTAAGACTAATAAAATTAACTCAATTTTCATGTGATGGAAACAGATAGAGCTAATCCATAGTTTTAAACAAGTTTGGGAGTCAGATTTATGCATGTACTTGGATGATACATTATGCAATGCTCATGAGGTCTTGAGAATTATTACCTACTTTAATATAGGAAGTCCATCTACCCTATAACACATAACTACTCTGAAATGCTGGAGGGGTTATTATAATCAAAATGGAATTTTCTTCCATCTTTAAAAGTTCAGTCAGTTTTATAGTTTCTTAATGAACATGGTTCAGGGATGGATGATATATGACTTATAAACTGAATAACCTCGACCTGTTTCCAGTTTCATTCTGTTTTAATAGAGAGATAACAGACTTTAACCAATTGGTTTTTTTAAAGTAAAATTTTAGTAAATTTAATAAATAAATACTAATAGGAAAGCATTCTTTAAAGCTTCTTTCCCTTGCAGGAACAGAAAATGATATCAAGGCATTAAAAGACTCAATGAATGATTGAATAGGCTAAATTTATAAATAGAAAATGCTTATAAAGCACAAAAGCTTTTATTAGACCATGTTAGACAAGTATTGCAATTACATTATAAAACATACCATATCAGATTTAGAGGGGAAAAAACAGTTCACAAAACAAAGGGCTACTATCACTTGGTACTTCACAAAAAGAAAACAGAAAACAAAGAGCAAATAAACAATGGGTTCCAGAAAAAAGGCACATCATGGAAATTGTTGTGAAATTTTGGTTCCAATTACTCAAGTACATTTTGTTCATTAAAAGCCTGAATAACCTGAATAACCTTCATGATTAACTGGATCCAAAAGTCAACAGCCTCTGAGTCATCTGCTTTTTATAGATGACTCTAGAATGCTGCACTAGATTACTGCAATGTGTTATATTCTAGACTGCCCTTGGATACACCTCAGAAACTTCAGTTACTTCAACCTACTGTGGCAGAGGTATGACTGTAATGAGGCAATCCAAACATAATATTCAAGTTCTTCATGGTCTTCACTGGCTTCCAGTTTTTTTCCAGTCCCAATTCAAGATGGTTGCTTTAACTACAAAGTCATTTACAATTTAAAATCTGAAAAATCATCTTTTCCCATTATATCCTACTCATAACATAATTGAAAGACCTGCTCAGGATACCTTTCAACCAAGGGCCATCTTTATCATCTCTTTTGGCACAAGGTAAATACCGTTATTTCCCCAGAATTTATGTTTTAATCCTACTGTAATTTTTAATTCTTTTATTACTGCTTACATTCTCTATTAATATTTTAATGTTTATTTTTCAGATTTTATTTTGTATTGTATTCTTGTAAAACATCTTTGTTTTTATTAATTGCTTCCAACCTACTGTTTTAACTTCAAATGTAATGTTTAATTGTTTGTTTGGGGATTCCTTTTCATGGGAAGCAGTATATACATTTTAATAAATATACGTTTTTATTCTCTCTCATGTGGGCACATTACTACTGATATCTTAAGAAGAGGAAGAGTCCATGGTTGTTTGCACTTGTTCTTGGAGCAAATTGCAGATTGTCATTCCGCTTACAGCCTTTAATCATGCATCAACATATTATGCTAATGAGAACAAATATGCTTAAGGTTCATTCTCATTTGCATGGCGATTAGTTCAGATATAATGCTGAATTATGTTTAACCATGAGAGAGAAGGAAGAATTTGAACCAGATGGGAAAAAATGTTTTAGTCTACAATCAGATGGCTAAGTCTAATACAGCACTATTTTAACCAACCTTCCCTTTAGAACAAACTAAGCAATACTTAATGACAAAATGAAAAGACTTTCATTTTAGAACAAAGATAAATCAACCCTTTACCACTTTACTGTCCAGGAAAGGCAATCTTTTCCTAGCTAGGAGTAATAATTTGTTCTTTGACCTCCAAGGGTTACAAAAGTATGACAGTGAAGCAGTGATGTAACTGGAAGACATAGAATCTCCTCTTTTTATGGCTACACTTTCTGTCGTAAAATATTACTACACTAAAAAAAAAAAACCTTCCCTAGATACTTTCATCAAATTTATTCTCCATTGAAAATCACCAAGTTGAGTTGATCACTGCAGCGCCCATATTATTACAGCACATTTGGGTTTTGAGTCTGTTTTACCTCGCAATGGTGTCCTTTAAGGCAGCCACCAATTCATTGAATGCAGGATCTGACAGACCGCTAAAATAGAAGATGCAGAGAGTTAAGACACTATTAACATAGGAAACCACAAATTGTTTCTAATTTATTCTGCTGTGTTCTTTCTATAATGTTAATATGCAATTCTTATGCAACCAGCATACAACAAGGAAAATATCTGTAGCTTGGGGGTGAACTGTTGGGTTATTGTAACTCTTTAAGCTTTGTCAGCTAGAAAGCAGATCTAAAGTTTTAGTGTTTGTGTGAGAATGCTATTGCTTCTAGACATCACATCACAATCTTAGCTAAGAATCCTGAGTACTGAATTCATGGGTGTTCCTATGATTTCTTAATATATTTGTCCATTGAACTGAAAGGCAAAGATTGATGAATGTCATGATTCTGGGTTTCAGCATATTCTGTTAGGTTGCATATGTGTTTGTGTAGTGATGCTGCAGTGGTTTTTTGGGTACTTCTGGATTTATGGACATGAAGAGTTCTATGACATCAAGTGAAGTCATAATTTCATCATCTTCTGTTCTTAGGTCCTTGATATTGTGGAAGCTTTGTAGTGGAGCATTAATAAGAGTATTTCCTCCCAACTGCAAGATGTCCATGTTTCTGGTGAGTTCTTTGGATGCATTGTAGGCTGAGGACTTTGAAAGTAATACAGGTGATATGTGGGACGTTATTTTGGTATGTTCATAGAAGTATAGGAGGGCAGGTCTACCACTTTTCATCTGCAACTCTTCTTTCATGATTTGTCCTTTTTTGCTTAGAATATTGAGAATTTTCTTGATTTGGTTCTCCACATTCCATATTGAGTCATTATTTATGGGATTGTAAGATTCTTTATCCTCAGTAGTTCTTTGGCTTTCCATACATATTGTGTTCTGTTCATAACAGTGGTTTGGCTTCGTCTGCTGGGACGATAGTGATTTTTCCTGAGGCAGCATTACCACTTTGAAAAGTAGCTTTAAATAGTAAGATGGGCAAAATAAACAAAAATTCCAAGTACAGGTAGTCAACTTATGAGCACAATTGAGCCCAAAAGTTGTGTTGCTAAGTGAAAATTTGTTAAGAGAGTTTTGCTCTACTTTACAACTTTTTGGCCATATTTGTTAAGTGAACTGCTGCAATTGTTAAATTAATAGCAGTTCTTAAGTGAATCTGGTTTCCCCATTGACTTTGCTTGTCGGAAGATCGCAAAAGGGAATCACATGACTCTGGGACACTGCAACCATCATAAATGCGAGTCAGTTGTCAAGCATCCAAGTGTAAATCACATGACCATGGGGATGCTGCAATGGTCATAAGTATGAAAAATGGTCATAAGTCACTTTTTTCAGTGCGTTTGTAACTTCCAAGGTCATTAAATGAACTGTTGTAAGTCGAGGACTACGTGTACATACCATTTACAATACAGTCAAAAGCCTAGGAAGGAAGCAAATAGCCTAGAATATATCTACTCCTGCAAAAAAAACCCTGATAAGCAGGAAATAGCACCACATGAACAATCAGGGAAGAAACAACAGCCTAATCAAGAAACCTTCAAGGAGGAAGCCACATCCCCACCAAGACTGATAGGGCAAACTGTTAGTCAGCAAACTCCAGTCTCCCTTGCACTTTTGTTATATAGACCAGTAATTAAATGTCTGCAGGAAAATAACCAAGCTCAGAGATCACCAAGAATTCAAGAAGTATATAAGTACCGTATTTTTCGGAGTATAAGCCGCACCAATTTTTTTTGATGAGGAAAAGAAGAAAAAGAAATTTCCCTCTGCCTCTGAGCAATTTTGCCTCGTTACAGCAAACAGCATGCTTTACTTTCATTTTCGTTTTCAGCATAGCTTGATTAGCACAAGGAAAAAAAAATCTGCTCCAGCAATTTACCTCTTTGCAGCAAGCAGCAGAGCCCTGCGCAAAACAGCTGAGAGCAAATCAGCTGAGAGGCAGGAGGCCGATCCAATCAACTTATGCTAATTAGGCTGTGCTGAAGCTGAAAGGAGCTGTTTTTTCTTGCTGTTTGCTTGCAAGGAGGTAACTGCTGCAGAGGCCAAAGAGTGGGGGCCAGTGAGTGGGCGGGGCTACATTCAGTGTATAAGATGCACTTAAATTTTCACCCCCTTTTAGGGGGGAAAAAGGTGCATCTTATACTCCGAAAAATACGGAATGTATCAGGTACATCACATGTTTTAGTTGGAACACATAAAAAAAAAGATTAGTCATTTTACCATTTGGGGTCATCAAAGCATTTCTGCACCATTCCATCGAGGATCAGTTTCTTTATATGGAGCCTCAACTCTTCTGAAAGTGAGCTCACTGGAAAAGATAATGAAAACCCAGAGTGAATAGGATGAAATGCTATATGAGAGATCACTAAGTGGGGGTGGGGTGGGGGGATGAGCTTTTGTCTACTACCATTGATTTTCTCTTGTAATAGGAAACATTGATTGTATTTCTAAATAAAATTTCAATTCACATAATGGGATGCCAAAGGTAGTGTGTAACAGAGAAGAATCAGTGTTAGCAAGTACATGTCAGGCGTGAAAGATCAGGACTGCATATGAAGTTCCAATTAAATTGATTTATTGTTAATCATGCCTATGCACAGGAATCTACTCAACTAATTGTCAGCATTATCTTGGTGTTAGATAAGGGTCAACAGAATTCAAGAGAGGTTGCACTTAGTCCATTTGTGGCCACATAGATTCTAGATCACGAGTGTCAAACTAGATTGCATTACGTGACATATTGTGATGTATCGCAATGTTTTTTGCCTTTGCAGTTGGGGTGGGTGTGGCCTACATGTGATGCATTCAGCCCGCAGGCCACCAGTTTGACAGGCCTGATCTAGACTGATTCCTCATTTGACTCCATTCTCAGGTTCTGCTACACCTTCTACAGTACAATAGTTTATATGCCTAATCAGTGTCCTACTGATTGGTCCACATTTCCGAATCTTTGCTAGTTGCAAATACCTGCATGATAGTTATCTGAGTTTTTTTTTTTCCTCAACTGCCTTGTTCAGTGAAGACCAAAAGCCAAGTTAACACATTTAAAAATGAAATATGGCAGATTTCCTTCAAAATTATCTGTCCGAAATAATTTGGACAGGTTTTTAGGTTGCTGAGAATCAGCTTCTCAGAATACTTGTTTTAAGATCAAACAGTCTTGACCAAATTGATTCCCAGGTGTTTTTCAGATGAGACATAACCCTTTCTCTCTTGAGGTAAACCATACATAAAACTTACCATTCTGCTGAAAAGTTTCAAAATTAAAGCCTTCCATGTGCCCCAGAGACTGCTCAAGCTTTTGGGCAGAGTACTAACAGGAAAGAAAAGATTTAAATTTGAATGTATTTGATCTTTAAATGTTCACAGAATCCATGCTAAATTTTAACTTTTCAACAATGCTACTAAAAATAAGAGAACTTTTAGCCATATACTGTTTGTGCTGCAACCAAAACCCCAATCAGACTTCAGTAATCAGAAGTGCACTTATTGTATAAATCAACTAGTTCTCAATAACCACATCAATAAAATTGGCACTTTCTATAATAAGAACTTCATTGCTAATCAGGACTCATTCTGATAAGAACCTAGTTTAGATAGTGGCTTGTGCAGTCTTACAATATGTAGGTCTCCCCCTTGCTGCATTCATCATGCTACCATCACCACTGTTATCCACACTCAACAAAGAAAAACCCTGTGTAGTGAGTCACCACTTTTCCACAGTGGCAACCCCATTAAGATTTAACTTGAACTTTACCTGGAAACTAGAAAGGAGGAGTGCTGCCATTCTCTCAGCCTCTGGCAAATCCAGGCTGATTGCCTTACTCAAGTCTGAAAGTTCAGCAAAATGGTATTATTTCAGTTTGGGAAAGAATATGTTTTCAAATTACTATATTTTAACAATTGAACACTATGCCCAATATTTTTAGACAATTTACATTTTTACAATCCACAAGCAAACCTTACTAAACAGTGTGGTACTTATCTCTGAACAGGTAAGCATTATTACAAGAACAGATCCTTCCTCTAACTTGGTGCTGGGTGAGAGTTGATGTTCACCATCTTTAGAGAAGACCAGGTTGGAAAATAATAAATTAAATAGATACATAATAAATCAAACGAGAGCACTTTATGCCCCCAATTTTTTCACTACTTCATTACTACTTCATTTACTCTTTTGTAAAGAGCATTTTTTTGAAAATCTATAGTGCAATTATTTAAGGGCAGGTGAACATGGTTTTAGACCAGAAACAGGCAATCAGTCGCCTGTAATATAGCACCACAACATCTTCTCTGCAACACCTAGAGCCACTCAAAAAGGGTGAAACTAAAACTTCTGAAAATGTGTCTAATGTCTTGGTAATCTAAGGAGTGCATAGTCTTTAGAATGTAAGGCATACATTCTGCTAAAAAAGCCCAAACCTTCAGTACACAAAAAAGTGGACTAAAACTTCAGTTCTTCCAATCTAATCTTGAGGGTTGTTGCACTGGTAAAGGCAGAAAGTCCATTAAAAAAAAAAAAAAAGCTAAGTCCAGTATTATAAAGCAACCAGTTGGATAGTTCAGCTGGAAGGAAATTTTAGGGTGCCATCTGTTTAGGGATAGTTCACATAGCTTCTTCCAGAACTCAATTCATGTTGCCTTCCTCCTACCAAATTCATCCTTAATCGTTGTTTGCATCAAGGAAACATACCCAAAATATCGACATGAAAAGGTGGCAGTGACTTCCGGCGATTAACACCTTGTTTCAGACTGAAGCGACTCATGGAGCGACGTGCAACTTTTGGGCTAGGGAGCTTTCCAAAGGATACATTAAATGAAGTTGAAGCATGGTGTATTTCAGGATCAACATCCTGCGAGGATGCTTTTTCAAGCCCATAGGAACATTCATTCTTCCGATTATATTCTGGATGGTATTTTTGTTTGCTAGTCTCGACCAACATCGCTGAATGGCTGTCGGTCATTTCAAGTGGGATCGCACTGCTACCACTAGCAATATTTTCTGGTTTGACAAAGCATTCAGCAGCCACAATCTCTTGGTTATACACATTTTCTACAAAGAAAGAAAGTAGAGAAAACATGCTTCATGTAAAAACCAAAATATTTCAAAGCAAAATGGAAAGAAATTCAGCATGCAACTGAGTTTTTTCGATTATATGAATTTAAAATGCACGCAAACAGGTTGTAAGCAGAGGGAAAAGAAGCTGATACAGGAATAGGCTAGCTACACACACACACACACACACACACACACACACACTTTTCCATATATATATGAAAATAAGGGCTATGTAGCCTGGTGTTTTAGAAGACTTACTAAGGCCTACCCATGTTAACTAAGAATTATGAGAACCTAACCAAAATACCCACAGACTGCCAATTCATAGATCAGTTTCTAAACCAGCACATCTCAACTAGCCCAGCAGTTACTATTAGCACTTTTACACAAATTCTAAATATTGGTTCAAACCGAAATGATAAGGTTAATTGATCCACAAACCAATTAATGGTTTTCCCCCACATTTCTTTTCTGTATAGTAATAGAGATACAAGGAGTCCTCAACTTACTAATGGCCCTCATATACTGCTAAACTATGGTTTACTTTATATGGCTTGTTGAGGTGGGTTCACACATTGTAGCAAGCTGTAATTGACAGTGACACATACTTTGACAAAGCACTAACGGAAGATCAAACAAAAAAAATGTATTAATCCTTTTACCCAATGTCTTGGCCTTTTTTCCACATACAGAAGCAGACTGCATGTCTTGAGAACTGATCTGAAACAAAAAAATGTGTATTTCTCACAAAACATAGAAAACATTAAATTCTTTTTCCCCCACAGCATTACATTAGAGAATAAAAGTTATCTTGATGTTTCTGCTGTGATAGAAAAGGCCAATTGTTTTATTTCTCCAAGAACATTCTCCTTATTCAAAGGATTCAGGACGCTTGAAGATTCATGGGTTGTTGTTTTTTTGCTGAACTTTACACAATACAATTGCTTTCCAAATTAGTCTGATTCCATAAAATATTTATATGGAGAGATCTACAAGGTATAGTAGAATTCTCACATGATTTACTGCTTCAGATTATACAAAGACATACAAATGGGAAACAAATATAAAAATAAGCAAAATTTTCTATGCTTAACAAGAAATGCATAGATATTCCATCCACAGCTCTTTAAAGATCTCTGTAACTTCACTTAATCTGATACTCCTTTTTTCCCTTAGGTAATAACCAACCCCATATAAATAAATTGAATACATAGTTGGACCTATCAATTGCCTTTGTTAAATATGCAGACTCTGTTCTGTTTTATAGATGATTGACACATCTTGGCCCCCCACTACATGTTGAATTATTGACTACTACTACAGAATTGCAGGAAAATGGAGGGCTTAATTTGAATACTAATATTTCTTACTAAAGCATTAGAAGTGCTATATGTTTTAAAGCTTTTAGGTAGTTTCATTTACCTGTTGAGCCAAGGCCTTTGGAAGAATACCTTCTGTGCTGAAAAGTTTAACAAAGAATTCTCATTAAGCCTAGTTTCCCATCCTTTAAAAACAAAACTAATTAAATAACTACAGTCAAACATTGCTTTTAGAAATTTTGCAGATGTTGGTTCAGTATCCAATCATTATGTGTCCAGTTATCATCATCATTTTTCCCAGCAACTGCAATACAGCTTATGGAACTAAAGCCAGAAAACCCAAATTCAAAGTGAGGCTATTGATAAAGGAGAATATTTGAAGCTCAGGGTTGACGTGAGGGATCCTTGGTGAGCTTGCTTGTTTTCTTACAAATGTTTCATTTCCCAAACTAGGTAACATCATCAGTGCTAGCAGTGGGGCTCTTCAGTTGCCTACAAAGAAAATGTCAGCAAGCACAGCCTGTTTAAGCTAAATAAAGTTTTGTTTATATTTACCACTGGGCCTCAAACAACCGCAAGACCAAGGAACATGAAATACAAGGTAGGAATGGCCAAGAACCTCTGATCCATTGAACATTTGACTATAAGGAAGTCAAGAGAACTACCATATCTGAGCTGCAAATATCCAGAGGACTGCTAGACATGAAGTGGTTGCAAGGATCATTACAATACAGATACATTAGGTTTACATTAAAGACATTAACAGTCCCACCATGCAGCAACCCCAGAAAGCCGCTTCAGTCAAAAGTACCTTGGTAAATATTGCAGATAAACACAACCTACTTTTTGCACATCAACTACCTTTTCATTCTCTGCAACTTCCACTTTCAGTACCGAAAAACATAAATATCGGTAGTCCTCAACTTACGACCACAATCAAGCCCAACAGGCGTGTCTACTTTCGGGACCTCCAACAACTTGAGCAGAGCTGTATCCACTTCAAACAGCTGATTCTCCAGCCCCGTGACTCTAGGCACCGTTGCTGGTGAGACCCACTGCTTACGAATTGTGTCTATGAACATGTCAGGAACAGGAATGGTATCTGTTGCCACAGGTTGTTCCGAAAAGAGAAAATCCTCCTGATCCCCACTGGGCAAGTCCTTATCAGAAGGTGCAGGAGCCTGTCCCAGGCTGGCTGTAGCCCGGGCCTTAGCTAGCAGTGGTCTCAAAAGGGCGGGATTAAAGAGCCCTCTAAAGTGCGGTCTCTGGTGTGGCTCCTGCTCAGCATCAGAAAAATCCTCCTCCCCTTGGAAGTCCTCTGCATAACGGCTAAGCTCGGAGGGAGTAGGGGATACTGGCTCCTGGTAATCCACTACCTCTGGTATGAACCTGTGGGATTCCAGGCTAGGCCTGTAATCATACATTGGCACTGGCGCCTGACACTGCAAACTCATGCCTTCTGCTATATCCTTACGTATAGCTTGGTCAATCCATCTTTTCATGAAATCCGGGACCTCCTGCTCTCCCAACTCCTTGATGGAGCCCCACCACTGTAGGGGTGAAGGTGGCCTCAGGGACCCTAGGCCCCATTCCTGAAATCCCAGAAGGTGCCTGAGCATCTCCCATGGCTCCAGGGGACCCGGGTCTACCCGCTCCCTGCAAGGGAGGCCCACTCTGCGACTCTACACCTTGGGTCTGCTGCCCAGACATGATTGGGGAAGGAGAGACCAATTGTTGTTCACACACGGCTGAAACAGAAGAAGAAGCCTGGGGCAAAACCCCCGCCTTAGCAAACTCCTTGTCCAGGGCTCTTTGTCTCACAAGTGCAGTCTTCTCCTCTGACTTAGAAAGGTCCGGGCGTGATCTGGCCTTGGCCTTGATTTTTGCAGCCGCTCCAAGACTGGCAGTCCTAGGCTTGGAAGTAGCTCTGCTTCCTCTGCCATGTGGGGGGGACCACGATCCTTCTGCAGAAAAGGAGTCTTGTCTATCAGTCTCCTCCATATTAGAAGCAGTTAAGACCAGGCACCCTCAAGGTATAAAATACGAAGGTTCCACCAGCAATCCAGTCACAGTAGACCAGAAATACCCTCTCTAGGGGGAATTAAATTAATTACAGTCCAGTCCTCCAAGGCCTTCAATTAGACAAGAGCCAAATAACATGAAGTGATACTGGCCTGGTCCCACAAGACTGCTTCCAAAATGGCCGCTGTCCAACCGTCCCTGCATTATTTTATTTTATTTTTTTAATTTGATTTATATGCTGCCCTTCTCCGAAGACTCAGGGCGGCTTACAATGCATTAAGCAATAGCCTTCATACTTTTGTATATTTATACAAAGTCAGCTTATTGCCCCCACAATCTGGGTCCTCATTTTACCAACCTTAGAAAGGATGGAAGGCTGAGTCAACCTTGAACCTGGTGAGATTTGAACTTGCAGAAATTGCAGGCATCTGGATGTTATTATTATTATTATTTATTGAATTTGTATACCGCCCTACTCCCGAAGGAGTAATAACAGTGCTTTAGTCTGCTGCGCTACCAGGGCAACAACAGACAGGATTAGGCCCCATGTTCAGCCAGGACAGGCCACACAGCGAGCCTGCAGGCACCACAGCTGCTACACTTGGCTCTGGCTCCCATCCAGTGGTGGGTTGCTCCCGGTTCGCACCGTTTCCCACGAGCCGGTAGCGGTGACGATATGACGTCACCAAACCGGTTCTCTCCCCCCCCGCCTCTCCACCCACCCACCCACATTATTCTTACCCTTTATTTCAAAGGGCCGTCCTACAGCTGATCAGTGTTAAAACAAAACAAATGAGTAGCTATGCTAGGGAAAAAACGAAACTGAAAGTAAAGCAGGCTCTGCTGCAACGTGACAAAATGAGGCAGGGAAAGATTTCTTTTTCTTTTTGCTCACCAAAAAAGGTAGGTGCAAACAATGGGAAATTTAGGGCAAAAGAGGAGAGTTCAAGTTTTTAAAACACAAAAGAAAAAAAGCTCTATTTAACTAGAGAATTGTAATAACTGAGATACTATTAATTGTATATTGTGTTGAAAGAAGAAATGGTTAAGTTGTGGTTTGGAGGAATATATGGGGGAAATTATTTGGTTTATTATTATTGGAAAATATAATTGATTTGTAAGAAATTGGATTGCATGGAAATAATTGGAATATTCATGTTCATATTGATTAATATACAAAAAAGATAGTTATATAACTAATTGATTTACATTAAAAATGTTGAATTTGTATTAAACAACTGTAATATTACATAATTAACCAATGTGAGGATGGATATAAAAATAGATGACAATGGGAAGGGGTATAATATAGAAGGGAAAAATTGAATTTGATTAAGATTAGAGATGAGGATGAAGGGTAATATTGGTTTTTTAAAAAAATAGATGAGGAATAAATATGGCAAAAAGGAGATATAGAAATTGTAAATTTAATTGAAATGACTAAACAATGTTTAAATTTGTGAACCGGCCAAATACTCTATTCAAAGAAAATACATTGTATGTTTGTATGTGTCTTTCTAATTATTGCTGTTTATTCATATTTGTTCTCTTTTATTCTTTAAAGTTTAACAATTCATTCTTAATCTTAATATCTTTATATTTGTTTGGGGTTGGCTTTCTTCCCTTTCATCTTTTTTATTGTACAGCAATCTTTCTCCTCAAACCTAACACCTCTCTCTTTTCTTTCGTTCTTACTTTCTCTTTCCCCCTTCTTTTCCTCCCTACTTCCTCTTCCTTTCTTCTTCTCCTCCTCTCTTCCTCCCTCTCTTACCCTCACTCCTACTCTAATTTCCCTTCCCTTCCTTCCTCCCTTCTCTTCCTTCCCTCTCTCTCCTTCCTTCTTCCATCTCTCTTCTCCTTCCTTCATCCCTCTCTATTGCTGTACCCTTTTGTGCATATGGACTACTCAGAGGGCTGAAAAAGTTATTTTTGATTGGTCCTCACACTTTTGACCAGTCCTCGAACTTACGACTGCCCTCACATTTTACGTTTCTGCCCTATCTTGTCACCATGGTGAAGAGAAGCTGTTGTGAAATGAGTGACACGGTTGTTAAGAATGCTACAATGGGCATAAATGATGACCAGTCATAAGTGTGAAGACCGGTCAAAAGTGCGAAGACCTGTCAGAAATCACTTTTTTGAGCCCTCTGGGTAGTCCCTATAGGCATAGCCATGGCCACCCGGTCATGTGACCAGCTAGCCACGCCCACCCAGTCACATGACCTCCAAGCCACGCCCACAGAACCGGTAGTAAAACAATTTAGAACCCACCCCTGCTCCCATCCGCTCCCGCGGAGAGCCCACCAGGCCTGGAAACTCCCATGGCCGCAGGGACTTAAACCAGCCCAGAAATGTGCGGGAAACACAGCCGCCCTGACTTACACCAGGGCAAGGCTATACTGGCCCCAGTCCGCTCCGCCGCGCTCCCAGCGCTCCACGGAGGCAGCAGCAGCAGCAGTCAAAATCGGCCCGCGCCCAGGCTAGAGAAGGCTGGCGCGGCCGTTGGGCTCAGCAAGCAGCTCGAATTCAAAAATGCCGCCCCGCGCTACAGCTGAGCAGGGGGGGGGATCAAAGGGAAGCCGCGGCAAGGAGCCCCTCCCACGCTGCAAGGAACCAACAAGTAAAAACAAGAAAGAAACAGATATCTATAAGTAAAAGGAAAGGAAAAATTTAAAATAAAATGAAATGCTACCTTATCCAGGGAATTCCAAGCTCAGCTCTGAGCTCTGGAGCTAAAATGCGTCCATAGCTGAGACAGAAGGAGGCGGAACTTCAGCAGTATCAACTTAGTCCATAGAGCTAGACCAAGGATAAATGCAGACTAGACTGGCACCTCCCATTTCCACACTATGGAGAAAGAGGGTGTAACTTAATTTACTAGCCTCTTCTCATCAGGCTTAGCTTTGTTGGACGAGTTTGGGTCACCTGCAGGAGGAGAATGTCAAAGAGAGAAAATACTAAGACAACTTTGGGGACATCTAAATACACTACCCCCCCTTTATCCGTGGCCCATATAATCCAACGCGTTGGTGGAGTCTGGTTGGGCAACTCACCTCTCTACATCTCTAGAGGCTTATTTCGTCCCATTGCTTGTTTTGCAGCGTTCGCAATATGAGATTTTAAAAAAATGCTTTTATTTGGAAATTATAGAATTCTAACTAGAAAAATATTTTCTGCTCACTCCACCTCCGAGAGGAAAAACGAAGAAATCCACGCTCTCTGCACTTGTACAGCGTAAGTTCTATCAGCCAAAAACAATGGAAGTCTCAGGGTTTGCTTTTTTTAAAAAAAAAACAAAAACAGGTTTCATTATATATGAAAAAGTTATTATTTTTCGTATTAAACATCGTGCTGCAGAAGCAACTCATCCTGTTGCCGTTGCAGGATGAGGGAGGGTTTTCTCCTGAACACATATCGGAGAGCTCGAAGTTGGTAGCATAGGTCCGCTTTAAATTACCTGGCCCCGCCCCGCTTCTGCCTAAACCTGTTTGTTGTATACAAAACCTTTTACTTTCGACATTGCACAAAAAAATATTCCCACTGCTGGCCTGATAACAAATTCCAGATTTCTCGATTGATTTCTCTAGGCAACTCTCATCATCATTCCAGATCAGGAAATCGCTCCCTTTGCATGTTTTTATATCGATAACCCGAGGGTGGTCTGTCATACATTATTCCAAGGAGGAAACTTCTATTAACTTATGTGTTACAGTATCTCACATTTTCATTTCAAAATGAAAATTCTGTTAAGTTATAACTTATTTCAATTGTAGATTTCTAAAATATGCATTCAATTTGTTGGGTCTTCCTTGTCATAAGGATTTTAAAGATCCAGGAAATACAATGTCACATCCAAAATTTGATTATTAAAACTGTCCGAGATGGGGTGAGGATTGACGATCTCTAATATTTCATGGTAAAACTCACCAGAAAAATGAAATATGCAATGACAGGCATTCCTTAAAAGCAGGGCTAGGCAGGAAAGGTCCTAAGGAACTTTGAATTCATTTCACAATGTTAAAATAAAATACGTTTTACCTTTTTATGACTTGTCCCAAAGGTGCTTTTTCAAGAGGCAACTGGACTTGTTTTTCCTTGAAGACATTCGCTTCTCATCCAAGAAGCTTCTTGGATGAGAAGCAAAACATCTTCAGAGTAAAACAAGAAAGTCCAGTTGCCTCTTGAAAAAGCACCTTTAGGAGAATCATGACCTGGATGACCGAGACACTCCATAGATACTTTTTATGACTTATTCAAAAAAGGATACTTTAGCTTAATGGTGCCTTTATGGTCTTTATATTCTTAGTATGTGAATGTCCTCCATTCCTTTGGCAAATGTCAAAATAGCCAGAATATGAAAAAAAAATTGAGGTGACTATTGGAAATTAACACATTACTTGAATCAATCTCAGGAAACAATCAAAACAAGGATTTTTCTCTTCTCAGTTCTTGTTTTGTTTTTTCAATTCAGGAACAGCTTTGTGCCCAAGTGCAAATGCCTGTTTGAAAGCTCTCATGCCGAAGAAATTAGAAATAGCTTTTGATGATCAACCATTACTGGAGGACCTGGAAAGCTAGTTTATCCACTTCAATCAAACAAAATAGCCCCTACCCCAAATAGTCTTAACCAGCTCATCTGAGAACATGCTAATGAATATCCATATAGTTAAAAAGCATAACTAAAACAGATGTGATCCTGCTGCTCATCATTTCTAAGCAAAGAAGTTGAACACAGCAAGTATATAGGTGTTACCAACTGTCACGATACTTTTGAACTCAAGGGAGAGATTAATTCTAAATGAGTACATAAGCCAAATCCAAGGTTCATCACTGAAATAAAAATTTAGTTTGGGCATTACTCTGCCAGACTTTTCTGCCTTTGGTAGGCAGAGCATAGTTTCAAATTTTTAAAATGACTGTCTCTTTCTTATTTGAAAGAAATGTTTACATAAAAAGAAACACAAAATATAAATGAAACACAAGTGTTTCAACTGCTTCATGAGTCCTCTCAACTTTCAAATCTCAATTGTCATAGCTATTAACATATCAGTCAGTGGTATAATTGTCAATGCCCCCCTTCTATTCCTTCAAACACAACAGTTAGGCAGAGTTTTTATTTATAGCAGCTATTCCCATCTAAGCAGCCTCCAGAAGGTTCAGATTATAGTCCCCAACATTCTGAATACCTGATTGAGGAAGACCAGTCTATTTCATCTTAGTGATGTTTAGCAATGATCATGTTAATAAGCACACTCTTCAAAACTGTTTTAAGTGCAAAATATTGATGGTGGAATGGGGGAAGAACTGTTGGATACACTTTAAAAGTTCTGGTCCATCTACTGATTGGTACTGATGGAGCTTTCCCATTGTGCTTAACTCCAAAAAAACAAAATATATGGTTGGATACCGAACAACAGCTAACATTTGAATCAGATTTTGAACAGTGCATTCCTATGGTGGAAGTAGTAACCATGGCAAGAAATTTCATCAACTTTAGTTACATTAATTCTCAAGAGCATCAGTTAACTTGACTATGGGAAGCTGGTAGTTGCATATTGCAAAGAGCTAGAGAGCCAAAGGGTCTCCAATTACATAGATGGGATATCTCTGAGTAGACATACAAAAGACTGCAGTGTGAACCAATCTCTTATTTTTACCACAATGTACTGGTAAATACCATCCATCAACATGAAGGAAATCTTGGAAAAAGGCAGAAAGGAAAAAAAGACTTTGGAAGTTTATTCTTTGATAAATTTAAACTGAAAGTGATGACTTTGCTACTAACATTTTCCTAGATGTACAAAAATCTATTCACAGACAAGTCTGTGTATACTCTAAGACATTAAATTAGAGCTACATGAGAGTGACAGAAGATGAAGTTTCTATTCCAAGAGCAAAGTCCAATAATCATTTTGGTAAAGCAATAGCCTGTTCTGGTTAATGAGTTCAAAGATAGAGTCTTCCTCTAGAAAATTACAATACAGATAACGCATACAATTACAATACAAGAGGGGCTATTTGTTAGTAACTAGCATCTAAAACAGAATTTTTATAGTAAAAACACATAGAAATTAAAATCAGTTGCATTTTTTAAAACTGGAAAAATGGAGTCAACTCTTAAGCATAAAAGTGGTAATTCATTTTTTTTAAAAAACAATTTGTTTTGGTAAATGAAGCCAGTTCCTTTAGAACCCAAAGGGCAGAAGTAAGAAGAACTCAAGCACATCATGCCGAGAGGTAGAGAGGTGTCCATATATAATCACAATCTTCCATTGGTTTTCTTTTTTCTTTTTATTTTATCTGAGGTAATTAGCTGTGTGTGTGTCAAGTTGTAGAATCAAAAGTATTGGCAAAAAAAGAGCAACATTGACAAGATACACTAATGACCTCTTTCCTCTCCTCAACAGGTCCTAAAACATTTAATTAGATGCATCTGAATTAATGCTTCCTGGATCTCCAGTAGGTGAAGTGATTGATGAAGGGGTAGTAGCGTCCTGCCAGCTGCCATTAGCCTGAAGAGGGAATAAAGGCATTTTGTTGTTAAGTCCACAAGATGCTACTACTTGCCTCTTAAATCACTCTCTCCCAAATCACAATAGGAGAGCATTATGCCATGTGCAAGACACAGACTTTGTTCCATTACTATTAGTCTCATAGTAAATATCTTCATACGTAATTCACTTTCTGGGGCACAGAAGGTAAAATATTGAGTGAATGCGGCTTCTGCTGCATTTGTTTCATGGCTTGTCTTTCTCCCAAATGGGACTCCTTTCCTCTTGCCCAATTTCTCCGGCTAATTTGTCTAAATAGTTAAAGCTTTATTGCCTGTTGATTCTCAAAGAATTCAGAGTACAGAATGGAAGAATACACTCCCACATATCTTTCTGTTCCCAAATGCAGACTTGGGGGATAGGAACCAATCCAAGGCCAGTGTGTTGATGTGCATGCTTTTTCTTTCTCTCTCACTGTCTCCTGCAGTCTCTTCTTTCAACTTTCAACTCCTGCACTTTCCTCCAATAGGAGGGGATTGAAAGATGCTTCCTTCTAATTCACTGGGCCAATATGGACGAGTAGGTAGAAAGCTTCTCTTTCTGATCATCCCTAACCATTCACGGTTCTTCACAGTACCGTGAATGATACAGAGAAAGGTTTTCTTATAGTTTAAACATGAGGGATTTTTAAAAAATTCCCTGAATAATAAAAACTGGCAACAGGATGCCTATTTCCCCCACTCTGAAGCAGCAGTCTTATGGCAAGGTGCTAGCAACACCACAGTTAATGCCGCAGTAGAGTTCTATTATAATTGCATCTGCAGAGGTAGTTACATTAATCAACATTGCCATGTCAGACTTCCACAGCTCAAGACATTCAGTTTCAAAATCAGAAGCTCCTTACATCAATGCGCTGTGTCGAATATAAGGGGTTTCCCACAATGCTGTCATATCTTCCTGCCTGGTGTATGACATGGTGTAAGGAATCCATCTGTAACAGTATGACCAATTTGTCAAGCAAACAAAGAAGTGCCAAAAGAGTTATGTAAATGCTATATTTACTGCCCCAAACCCCATTAACTTCCTTTCTGTGATCTTTTAGGGTTTTAGTGTCCAGCTGGGCTGCACATTTATTCTCAATTTATAACTACTTAAATTGCTTTTCTGCATGTTATCAAAAGGAGATTGCTATTAGCATGATAAGATTTTTTCAAAATAATGAACAAGTTTCTCTGGGCCTACAAATTTTAGGAAAAGAAAATTTAAAAAGAAAAAACACCCATTCTCTTCCCCTGGAATGAATAGCAACATTTATTCTG